TCAGGCATGGTTCACTTGGCCGGCCTTGGCCCGGTTGGAAGAGGTGGGCCTGAGCGTGGTTTACTTAGGCTTTGGCCCGAAACTGAAAGCGAGACGTGACTTTCAAGGGGCTGTTTCATATGGATTTATTAATCATTCTTACCGTTCAATGAACGCAAACTGTCGTAGATTATTAAAGACTCAAACCCCTCACCGCACGACAGCTGCACCTTCAGCAAACCTCCTCATTCCTGCAGCACGAGGACAAAAGTGGCGGATCTGTTCGGCGAAATATCTGACTGCGTGTCACCGCATCCCTAAGGACTGTTTGGTGAAATATTTGACTGCATGTTGATGCTTTTGACACAAAAGTTTTCAGAATGAAATTTCCTTGCAATTTTAAAGCAAAGGCCTTCAAATGAACACACACAAGAATCAGCTGTAACCACAATAAAAAAGCAATAGGTATAAACTATTAGTCTTCAATAGACATGTTTACAGTTGTATAGCTATAAGTAGTAGTCTTCAATAAATGTTTTACAAGAGCTATAAATATTAATCTCCAATAAATAAGCCAATGTTGCAGTATGGAAGAGGAAGCACGAAAGTGAGGAAAATTGGTTAACAGTAGACAGGGAATGGGATTTTTTTTATTGAAATGTATACATCAGCAGAAAGCTGAATAAATACGCTTTACATCAGGGGTCTCAAACTCGCGGCCCGCGGGCCATTTGCGGCCCTCAGTGCAATATTTTGTGGCCCGCGCCGACCGCTGTACTCTGACAGAATCAGCGGAGCGGGGAGAGAGAGCGCTCCCCGCTCCGCTGATTCTATCCGTACACAGCGCGCTTGTCACTCAATGTGCGTTGTCGCGCGCGTTCTGATCAGCTGTGTTGTCGCGCGCGTGCTCAAGAGCGGTGTTATCGCACGCCTACTGAAGGGCGGGACCGAGGGTGTGTGGCGTCGCGGGGGCACTTTTGATCATTTTGGAAGGGCACTTTCTATGCAAGACTAAAAAGGGCATGTGCTTTGCACAGGTTGAGCCCTATGTGTGCACGTGCCTGCCCTGCATCTTATATATATTATAGGTAGATACAGACTGGTACAGACTGATATGACTGGAGTGGGGTGGGGGTGTTTTATTTATACATATATACGCCTTTTTTTTAGGTGAGGGAATGGAAGTTTTGAGTAAGTTCCCCCACTTTTTTCCCTAGGACTTCAATAAGTCAAAGTACAGGTCTAGACTTAATGATGATCATCTTCAAGCCATACTGAGGGTCTCAACTGCTTCCGCTCTAAAGCCAAATGTGGTTCAGATTTGTGAGAAGAAGCGCTGTCAAGTCTCTGGCAGCAAGAAGTAGGCAAAAGATGCCATGTTCAGAAGAACTGTTCATAATCTTCACTCAATGTTCTATTAATGTTCAGGACACTTCATGTTCAGAAGAAATAATTAAAACTGTTATTAATGACATTTGAGGACTTTTTTTTGTGAAATCCCTTATGCGGCCCAGCCTCACCCAGACTTTGCCTCCTGCGGCCCCCAGGTAAATTGAGTTTGAGACCCCTGCTTTACACTGTTATATGGTTTGTTAGGATAGGCCAATATTTAGCTGTCAGTCTGTCACTGTTTGTTCAATACAATATGGTCATGTACTTTATAGCAATATCTCTCAAACCCTGATTATATCAGTATTAGTCAGTTAAAAAGGATATGAGTGTTTAAGATTGATTACAGCAGTGTGTAAATGAAGCAAACAGATTTATCTTGAATGAGGCGTGTGTGTTCTGTACGGTGTAAAATTGTGTTTTGTTATAGTGTTGTAAAGTTTTGGATGAAGTGTTTCATTTTGCAAAAGTTCTGATGTGTTCTGCTGTTTGTGTGTGTGGATGTGGAAATTGTGTGTAGTGTTTTGACAAAATGAGCCTTCATTTCAAAATTGTGCTTAAGCAATCAGAAAAAACTGTAATTGAAAGAGCTCATATACTTGTTTGCAAGTTGTATTGTTTGAAGTTAAACTAGCTTTTGTTGCATATTTTTAATGTGTAGACACGGTTTGTGCGTTTAGCAAGCCAAATGGGTCATTTTGACTCTGAGTGCCGCTGTTTAGGCCTGTGTGTGAACTGTTTTGAAAATGGTGAGTTTTAGTTGACGGCTGCATCAAAGCAATCAAGAAAATCTGTAAATAGCCAAGAATTGAATTACATTGTGAATTGGCAGTGTTTCTTCTGTAGATGCAGATCACGTCCTTTTGCAGTTATTGTTTAGCAACTGTCCTGGAGAGATATGTAGCATTTGTTTGGTGAAATGTAAATGACTTTATTGCTGTCAAAATTGATGAAAACATTAGTTTACATTGGAAAGATTAAAGGAGACGTACATTTAAAAAAAAATTCTTTATTTTAATGGCCAAATTTCATAATCATAAATGTACATTTTCAGGTAAAAATGCAAATTTTATTGGATTTAAAAATAAAGTGAAGCATTATATTGAGTCCATATTACTCTCAAAAAGCTGTAATTATTCAAGCCTGTATATCATTTAATGTATTCCTGTGATATTGTCCATATCTCCCCCTAGCCTTTGAAATTTACTTTGCATTTGTTGTATTGACTTGTATTTGTACTCTTTAAGAAAAAAAAAGAAAAAAAAACTTTCCCGTAGAGTCCTGCCAAACATTTACCATGGACACAAAAAGAGCCGCACAGACTATATGTAACACAGATGCGGTCTCAATGTGCTGCTTACTCTGTTTCATCATGCTAGCAGTTTTACCAATTGTGGATTGCAAATTTAATAGAGTAAAACGTTTCAATGCAACCATAAAACTTTAATTAATGCAATCTGCCGCCGTCTTTACCTCGCGGACTGAAGAAACCTGCAGCAAGTGATTGAAGGTAGCCAAGTTTAGCGGGAAAACCGCGGACATGGCAACCCTGCTCTCATGGAAGTGTCTGTAAAACTTTGCGTCGCGCGTGTTCAATCAACACATGCTGCTTTGTCTCAGCACTAGCAGTAATACACAACATACTTTTGCAGATAGAAGATGCCAGAGGTGTACTGTTTTTTTGTAGTTGTTTAGTTGTTTAGTAAAACTGTAAAGCCACATTCTGTTTGTTTGCCTGTAGCTTCTGCTGCACAGGAGGGATCATATTGTAAAGTAATGGCGCCCGTAATGCAGCTAAAGGGATTTGACCATCTTTGGTTTGAATGTGTACATGTAAGACGCTCGTTCGGTCCAAACAGTGATTTTGATATCCGCAAGACGTTGATGCAAGCCCGGCTAGCTCAGTCGGTAGAGCATGAGACTCTTAATCTCAGGGTCGTGGGTTCGAGCCCCACGTTGGGCGCGTCACATTTTCCCGTTTTGTTCCGTATACACGAGTTGAATCAGGCTTTGCTGATTAATGTGTAGAAATGTGCAGTTCTAGGCGTTTCTTGGACATTTTTGAGAAACCTTAATAATAGTATTTTGGGGAAAACTGCAGCACGTTAACATGTTGTTTTCCTTTGGAGATGACGCATAAAACATGATGACGTCAGCATTGGCGTTATCCCGTCTCTGTGGCGCAATCGGTTAGCGCGTTCGGCTGTTAACCGAAAGGTTGGTGGTTCGAGCCCACCCAGGGACGAAATTTATTATGTTTTTTAACCCTTGTGCACTGTTCAAATGACTACCCTGTTGTTATGCTCGGGATGAAAACATCTACTGATTTAAACTGCTGTAAAAATGCATCAAATGAATATTCATTTGCATAAATCTGTTAATCAGCCTCAATCCTGATCAAAACTACTCTACAGTTTAATTAATTGGATGTCTTTATCCCGAGCATAACAAAAGCGTAGTGAATTTGCCCAGAGTGTATCGTTAAGTTGTTTAAAAATTCAAAGCATTTCCTTAAAATATGTGTCAAAATAAGACTTACCATAATCATTCTGCTAGCTAAAACAGAGGAAGTTGTGGCCAAATTAAGACGAAAAATCCCCCCAGAGTGGGTGAAGACATCCCCAACCGCACATTAATATCGCCACCTTGTGGTGCGAGTGTGAGTAAAAAAAAACAAATGTGCTGACGCTTTGTTGCACCGCCATCTAGTGGCGGGATAAATAAACTTACAGAGCTGTGTGGTGACACAGTCTCTGTGGCGCAATCGGTTAGCGCGTTCGGCTGTTAACCGAAAGGTTGGTGGTTCGAGCCCACCCAGGGACGAGAATGCTTTTGGACTTTATTAACGGAACATCTCACTGCTAACTCAAAACAATTCCTCTCCATTTATTTACATTCAAGTGGTTCCAATCCAAACCCCAAACTTTTTCTTCCGCATATCAAGAGATTAACATTCTATATATGTATCGGTGGCTCAGTGGTTAGCACTGTCTATGTTTTGTTCCTACTATGGATGCCAAAATGAAGCCATTTAGATTAAAAATATCGAGGCTTATGTAGATCATGCTCAAAATAAGGCACATGATCAATTGATATGTTGTGATTAATCACTTCCAAAATAAAGGTTTGTTTTGACATACTACATATGTGTATCATATAAATGACACACACACACACACACACACACACACACACACACACACACACACACACACACACACACACATACACACTGTAAGCCCGGACAGGTTGATTGAACTTAAAAAAATTATGGAAACTCGCTGCCCTAAAAAAGCTAATTTCGTCTTGTTGAAAAAACAAAACTTTTTAAGTTTATTGTATTTAAGTTTTCAAATGCATTTGATTAAATATTTAGTTGACTGAAATAAAGGTTTTTAGTACAACACTACTGAAATCTTAGGTACAATAAACCTAAAAAGTATTGTTTTTTCAACAAGACGAAATTAGCTTTTTTAGGGCAGCGAGTTTCCATAAATTTTTCAAGTTCAATCAACCTAAACTTGAAACATAAAATCTTGAGCTGAATGTTATGACAGAAATAATTTTAAACTTAGCTATTCACTATAACTGATTTAATGAAAATACCCCTAATTACAAGCAAGGACAAAGAATAATAATTTACTTTACACTTTATTTAAAACCATTTAGAAATATCACTCCGAAACAAGTGACAAAACAAGAAAATGCCTTGTATAACAATTTGTCGATATTTATTGTTATAAATCTTATTAAAACACTTGTTTAAAATATTTCAATAAATTTTTACAAACATATCCAAATAATAAACAACCACAAGACATTATTACATTGTAACATTATGGAATATTTACACTTGCCAAACACTAAGGCATAGTTTTAAGTTTTTTTTAACTCACAGTTAGGACAGCAAGCCTGAAGGAACATGCCTTTTTTGTACCAGTTTACATGACAAGCCAGAATCTTACCCTTCAGCGTCTTCTTACCCAAACTTGTTGAATAAAAAGAAGGGTATTGTCCATGCATTTTGTGTAGCCTAGGTGCAGTGCATAGGTTGATCCAAAAAGACACATGGCCTGGGGTATATTGTCTATATTGTCCATTACAACATTTCCCTCCAAGATGATTCCCACAGGGGATGGGTGGAGGTGGAAGGACAGGGGTTGCAGAGCCACATCGTCATTTTCTCGGTTAAGAATTCCAACGAGCACATGTTGATTTGAGTCTCCATCATCTGAAGCCTGACAACAATACATAGATAACATAAATATATCTTAGAGGTGTACATTTGATTTTAATATATATGAATTGTATTTAATGTTTTTTAGTTGTATGCAAGCATAAATTGTTAATTGTATACCCAAGCATATCTAGTATTCAATGATATATAAAAATACTACAAAATATTAAATTGTTTTTTTTTTTTTTTGTATACAAGTCATTGCATACGGCATAAAAAGATTTGATATAATTAAATTACTAAAGATTTTATTAATGATACTTACAAAACATGCTTTGAAGAACTGCTTCAAACTACTGGAAGCACTCAAATGAAAACACCTCGCATGTCAGTGAGGTCAGAGGCCTGAGGTGTTGCAGAGAAACAACATTATATCATTTGTCAACATGAGAGAAAGTGCATTTTCATGTATCATAATTTAGTCTCTGTTACTGAGCATTTCTAAAGTAATTATATCAATTTCAAAATTCAGCACACAATGGCATCAATTTATATCAATGGAATGTACAAACAATGGCATACACAAACCTTGACATCTTGTAGTAGATAAAAATCTGTCCAGTGAGACCTCTCTGTGACCTGAAGATCTGAATCAGTTGTGGGCAGTGATGATCAAGAGACCAATATAATTCTTGCTAACTATCTGGTTGAATTCCTGATACACCTGTAGTAGTAAAACACACAAAAAAGTTCATTAACATCAGAGAAATGTCAAAATTAAACAACTGTCAAACTAGCATGCTATCATGTGTATCAATACTGTACTCAATTCATTACAAATACATTCCTGATATATGCATGGAAATGGCTGGCTTCTTGCATAGCTCCCATGTTTAAATCTGCAATGTTTTAATAAGTACCATATTTTGTTACAAGCAAATGAGCAATACTTACATTTTCATCTCATCCTGGTTGGCCTTGCTTTGACCTTTCTGGAATCTACAGTCACAAAAATATACATTAGATTACTAGCTGACAAAACACATTTACATATTTTGATCTGTTATCTCCAAATTTCCCACAAACAGCTATTGTTAACCAAAAGAATTATAGAGCTACAGTTAATTATTTATGTAGCTTTCATTCTAATTAACTGAAAATTCACTTAAGACTGATGAGCACGAGGTTGCATATCTTTCAAAAAATGCCAACTAACATGAATTCGTATTTCCGAAGAAAGGGGCAAATCTCAATGTATTCTAGTCTGTTAATACTTCACTTACAAAAAAAAAAAAACGTTTAAAACAGCTCAGGTTAATGTTACGCTAAACATCTGACGATGCATAACCACCACTGCAAAAATAATCATTTTACACAACAGATAATGCGGATGACTCATCGAATACAGCATCAATATTAAACTTTATATGTGACGACCTCATAAAGCATGTTTTCACGTACAGCAACTGTAACGTTAGTTACAGCCGCAATCGGTTATAACGTGGCATAAATGAACACGCTAACACAGGCAAAACTTACATGAACTATTTTACATAATATATGATCGATATCATGATCCTATTACGCACGTCTTTGCACTTTTCACGTCTTAGAGCTGTATATAAATGTGGCGATGCCGGTTGCGATTGACCGGAACAATAACATCCTAACGTCAGACACAGTTTAATCTTACATGTGGTTTTCTTGCTAACGGTTACATACTTTGTTTATTAATGGAAAACAATGTGGATTGTTTGAGACAAAAGTATGAAATCGTACTCACAGTGATCAGCAGCCATTAGAAAATGCGCGCTCACGCTGTGTTCACCAGTGACGTCAGCCCAAAGACAAAGAGCCAATCACATTTCCCCTTACACATCACTCCTTTGACAAGAGACTAAAACAAGCTCTGTTAAGTACATTCAATTTAAACAATCCAGTAGAATCAAAAATGTCATGCAAATCGTACAACAAACTAAACAAATTGAGTAACTGAGCAAAAAAGTTGGAATTTATGTTTATTGAATCTAAGTATTTTGAATTAATACAACTTTAGGGATAACAGTGCATACATACATTTTTGTTGCACAGTTTGCATATAATTTCTGTCATATTCTATATTTTATATCTAAATATAAATAAATATTTTCTCAAATATATGCATGGATATGTGTATTAGTACTCATACTGTATATATTTTGTCAAACATTAAATTTTTAGGTGATTTATTACAATTAATCATGTAAATCATGCACCGTAATATATGTATATAAATACACACTCGCATATATTTAAGAAAAATGTTCATTTATATTTAGACTCAGAATATATTTGTATATGACACAAATGATTTATAAACAAAACAATACTGTTATAATGCAATACAAGCAGATTTCTTACCTCAATATTTAATTTTAGATATGATTACCTTAAACAAACACGAACCGCCAGGTTTTGTTTCAGATGGGATTAAACGCAATTAATCGTGACTTATTTGTCGCTTGTTGTTTTTAAGCCTCTATGTTTTTAATCTAAGTCACTTTCTTTTTGTCATGAAAAACAGTGGCAAAGTATAAAGTCTTTTTATGTATGTGTCTGTATCACATATACAAAATAAATATATGTACAATACACACACACACACATATTTTCTGTTCAATTCATTTTTATTAACATCATCTAAATTTCATTCATTCATTTTCTTTTTGGCTTAGTCCCTTTTTTAATTTAGGGTCGCCACAGCAGACTGAACTCCAACTTATCCAACACATGTTTTACGCAGCAGATGCCCTTCCAGCTGCAACCCATCACTGGGAAATGTCCATACGCTCTCATTCACACACTATGGCCAATTTGACTTACTCGATTCCCCTATACCACGTGTTTTTGGACTTGTGGGGAAAACAGGAGCACCTGGAGGAAACCCACTTTTCCAGGTTAAAATAAAACACAAGTGTTTAAGTGAGTGATTCTACTATGTAATACAACGTTAACGTTTAGTTACATCATTAAATAAACATCTTCTAAAAACAAAACGAGGTTATCAGTCACAACATATGTGTGTGTATTTATTATGTGTAGATAAATACCGAAATATTTAATTATATATATATATCTGAATTATGGGAGATCATTCTATTTAATATAATTTTAATCTTTAATCATTTGAGAAGTCAAAATCTAAAAACATGAATGGAGGAGTCAATCATAAATGCATATGGTTGCATTATGTCTATGAATTCCATTAATCCTTGCAATAAAAATCCAAAAGCTATCTCGTCCCTGGGTGGGCTCGAACCACCAACCTTTCGGTTAACAGCCGAACGCGCTAACCGATTGCGCCACAGAGACGGAGATGACACAGCTTTCAAAACCCAAGCAATTCATCTGGACAGAAGCAAGGAAAAAGAAGCCTATAGATGATGATAAACAGGTGTTTGTTTTAAAGATGTGTCCACAGCCATGTTGTTAATATTAATATTATTATTTTAAAGAAACGGTCAGGTACATTGCCTATACATTCTTTCCAGTATCATTCCTAATGCCTTTGTAAAACATCCACTAGGTGGCAGTACAGACTAATACATTAATAGTAACACTTTACCACAGGTTGTATTAATGCTAGTTAATTTGAGAAAAAAATACATATTAAGCAATATAAGACGTACAGCCGAAATATGTAGTCTCAAAAGCTTGCTGTGTTCAGTCTGGATTGATCCTGTGACTATATTTCAAGCATCAGAACTTTATTATATACATTTAAATGTGTCAGGATTGTTTTTTTTTTTTTATTTTGTTCTGAGGATTGTTTTCTGTGATTTACAATTCACAGAAATATTTTATACTCTGCCAGCATTTTTCACGACAAAAACAAAGCCATTTTAAGGCTTATTAAAAACTTCATCCAGATAAGTCGTGATTAATTGCAATAAATCACTTCCAAAATTAACATCTGTTTGGACAAAATATACGTGTGTACTGTGGATAATTATTATGTTTATATACAGTAAATACACACATGCTTTCATATAACAAAAAATGTTCAATTATATTTCATCCTGATCTCACGAGGAAAAATAAGTATTTTACGTTTTTGTACGAATTCGTAAAAAGTTCAGTCGTATGAAAATGTACGATTTTAAAAAGGAGGCGTGGCACCCGACCCCACCCATAAACCCAAGCGTCATTGGGTGATGAGGAAATCATACTAAATTGTATAAATTTGATCATACAAATTCATACGAATTAGCCACTAAATCAAAAAGTTACGAATTGCCGCGAGATTGCGTTGTATATTTAGATAGAAAATATATATGAATATGATACAAATGATATATAACGAACAAACATAAATTTGGACTTTATTACTGCATTAGTAAATGTTGACCTACAATTTTTAATGACGTGTAAGTATTATCCATACTTCATTTTAGTAAACACATTAACTAACATTAACTATTGAAATTGAGTTAACTTGTTAACAAAGGTTCAGTGGCGGAATCACGCCTCACTTTTTTCTCCTTAACCGAGGGGTTCTCAACTGGTTTGGCCATGGGACCCACATTTTTACATGGTTATCAAGCCGCGACCCAAATAATTTTAGGAATTATAATTTATTAGTGTTTATTTGTTAACATACACAAGTAGTGACAGATAAATCATAAGACATTTACCAAGACTTACAAATAAACAATACTTTATCTCTGTCATTTAACAAAATGGATCAAATTATAGAAATATTACAGAGGAAAAACGTCAAATACTGTAATCAGTGGTTAGGGTAAGGAAAAGTTCAGTTACCATTAACTAAACTGAACTATTAATAAAACATTAACACTGATCCTGTTGAACAGAACAAACCAGCAAATTAAAGTAAAATGATTAAAATAATCATAACCGTTTTTATAATAATCATCAGTTATTTGCTCTTCTGCTATTGTGTGGGCTTTCTTGGCCTTTGCTACACGGTGCTTGGTGAGCACAGTAAGGGCCTACTCACACTATGCCATCTGTACCGTGCCCAGGCCCGTTTCCCGGATCGTTTGAGAAGTGTGAGTGCGCTGAATCGGGCTCAAGCACGGTCTTGATGCCCAATTCTGATTTGTTGCCTATGTTTGATTTTTTTTTTACCTGTCCGTTTACACATTGTTTTAATTGTGACCCCATTGTGAATGATGGTTTGTTCTGTAGGCTATCGAAAAAAAAATGCTTAAAGGAGCTAATAATTTTGTCCTTTAAAATGGTGTTTAAAAAATTAAAAACGGCTTTTATTCTAGCCGAAATAAAACAAATATGATTTTCTTCAGAAGAAAAAATATTATCAGACATGCTGTGAAAAATTCCTTGGTCTGTTAAACATCATTTATGAAATATTTAAAAAAGAAAAAAAAAATTCAAAGGGGGTTTAATAATTCTTATTGCAACTGTATATGGTGCAGTGTATTGCTAAAGTATTTTTATAGTTTGATAAAGTGTATTGTAGTTTGTATTAAAGTGTATTGTAGTTTGATATATTTAGTTGTCGAAAACCTAGAAAATTTGGTTATGTCACTATAGTTGTTTTACCATAGCAACACTATAATCAACACAATATGCTGATTCAAGTACTTTACTATAGTATTGTTTAAAAACACTACAGTATTTACTGTAACGTCCAATAGCCATATCTTGGTCAGTAATGCTTTTCTAGTCTACAAATGATGGGTGTGGCAAACACTGAAACTTGGACACACATTTCCATATCACCAATGGTTGTGACAACACACAATACTAGAGGACTCACATTCATTTTAATAGCTTGTTGAATGAGGACAGGTGGCATGCAAAGTTACTACCAGATAAGAACTTGACTTACATTTACATTTAGTCATTTTTAGCAGAGGATTTTAACCAAAGCATCTACTATTGCGAGCCGAAGCCACAGGCGAAAAGGTAGATTTTTATGTCTGATTTATTTAGTTGGACTGTGTATGTATATCTTACAATGTTGAACCGGTATAACCAGTCCTTAATTATAGTCTTTGACCAAATGTGAATAATTCTCTGGTCTTTGATGCCTTAAAAAAAAAAAAAAAAAATATATATATATATATATATATATATATATATATATAGAGAGAGAGAGAGAGAGAGAGAGAGAGAGAGAGAGAGCGAGCGAGAGATTTTGTGTGAAGTCACAGTCGGGAACGCTCTGGTTACTAAAGTAACACTCGGGGAACTGAAATGCTCTAAGTGGATTTAATCCAAGTATGGGGATTTTGTTCAGAAAGCCAATCGTCTGAAAGAGCATGTAAACGGGCCAATGAAATGCCAAATGAATTAGCAGCGCCAGCTTGTGTACCTGATGCTTGTTGCAATTAATTTAGCATCAAAGCACAGCGAAAGCAAGAAGATGCAACTTTTTCATATACTTCAACTGTACCATCACTGTAATATCCTAAAAAACACAACATTTTGAGTTTGGAAAATATGATCAAATATTCTAATCTTTGCCTTGTTTTTAAAGTTATTAATACCGCTGCTACTTCTTCTTTAAGAAAATGTTTCATTTTTAAAACTAAGAAAACATCAACAAGAAACGAGACATTCACTGATAGTCCCGCCCCAAAAATAGCTCTGATGGACTGATAGCTCTGCCCTAAAGCACTGATGGCCCCGCCTTAAAGCACTAATAGCGCTGCCCTAAATGACTAATAGCTCGCTCTAAAGGACTAATAGTCCTGCCCTGAATGACTGATAGCTCCGTCTTAAAGGACTAATAGCCCTGCCCTAAATGACTGACAGCTCTGGCCCTAAAGGACTTATAGCCCTGTCCTAAATGACTGATTGCTCCACCCTAAAGGACTAATAGCCCTCCCCTAAAGGACTAATAGCCCTGCCCTAAATGACTGATATCTCCACCCTAAAAGACTTATAGCCCTTTTTTGTTAGTTGCTTTGGTCAATATTTGTTTGGCCTCTTATTAACTAATTGCATTGTTTGCTCTTTGTCTTGTTTTGTTAATAGGAAGCTTTCTCTCATATTTGGCCTGTCTTCTTTAATAACT